GCAAGCTGTCGATCCGTCGGTCTGTCGGTCTGTCCGTCTGTCGGTCTGTCGGTCTGTCGGTCTGTCGGTCTGTGTGTGCACGCATGTATCTCAAGTTCTGCTGAACCGATTTTGATGAAATTTTATATGTAAGTTTATTTCCACCATGGCACGGATTGATCAACTTTTGGGATATATCAGGCCTCGGGAACTGTACTTTTTAGCGGGCCTTTTTACATCTTTGAACATTTTGAAGAAAGTATTCAACCGATTTACTTGAAATTTCATATATAAGCTTTACTCGACCCTCGACCGTCCAAAAAAATTCCTAACTTTTGGAAGAAATCAGGCATCAGCAACTGGACGTTTACTACGGGCCAAATATAAATTTTTGCGTATATAAAGAGAAATAATCAACCGATTTCATCGAAATTTAATATTTAAATTCTTCGTATTAAAACAATGAACATATAAATTTTTTGGAAAGATCAGGGCTTGAAAACTGTTCTGCGGGCCGACTTTACATTTTTCAACATATCTACGGAACGAATTGATGGAATTTCTTGAAATATTTTATTTGAGCTCTGGTTGTTACCGAAACTAACTGGCGAGCATTTCAGGGAATTCGGGTAGCACAAAGCGAAACTCTTCTAAGAGCCAAATTTACATTTTTCTAGGTATGTTAACTATAAGCTTACTAATGTCCTAAAAATTGGAAAAAAGTATTTAACAGACATTTTTATAATATTTTGTAACACTTTCAGTTAACTAGACAATATACAATGCGGTCGGTTATGTGCTGACCACATCAGATTTTTTTTAAAATTAAATTGAAATTTTAAAAATAATTTTTCTGTCCTTGTACAATTTTCGAATCCTTTTTATGCAAACACACAATTTTACAATTAATCCAAGTAACTCCAAGTATATAAAAAATCCCGAAAAATTTTCGAATCCTTTTTATGCAAACACACAATTTTACAATTAATCCAAGTAACTCCAAGTATATAAAAAATCCCGAAACTAATAAATATTTTTTTAATTCATAAATTCATACATAAATGAATTTCACTGTAACTGTTACATACCTACACATATGAATATACAATTAACATAATGTGTAATACATTTGTGTGCATACAGACAGTAATATGTATATGAATGTATGTGCGTAATTATGTACATATTATTATGGTAGTAGTATAAATATTTCGAGAGGGAATAATAAGTAATATTATTTCGTGTAGGGAATTCTAGGTTTCTTTTCAATTCCATACATGAAAGGTTTTTAGTACATACATATTTTTTTTTTTTTGATGCAAAAAATGTCACGAACGCAATAGATGAATTGAATGAATGAAGTACGTAGGATTATGTGTTATTTATACACTCAGACACAAAAAATACTAAGGAGGAATTCCAACAAAAAAAATATTTTTTATACAAATTTAATGAAAAAAATAGAAAATTCGGTTTTTTCGTTAAGAATTTTTGCAAAAAAAAATTATTAAAAAGTTGCATATATCTAGGCGCTTGGGCGTTTTTGATTAATTTTAACTACTTAAAGATTATGCAGGGTGCTTTATATAAGGTAGCAGATAATTTCAGGGATGATTCTTTGATCAATTTCTAGCCAAAATTATTTGGGTGCTGATAAGCTCGTTTTCAAGCCACACCCTGTTGAAACAAAATGTACTACATTTTTCCTACCTATAAATAAATTATTACAACTTCGGTACCATGTGATATAGAGAGCTTGTTTTACAGGCGATTAATATTTTTGCTTAGTTTTGGTCTTAGAATCAATTTGATTTGAGCCATAGTTTTCGAGATAAAGTTCGTCAAATTCAGAATTTTAGTGTTTTTTTTGGATTTTTTTTTTAAAACTTGAAATTTCTCGAAAATTTGTGTTTTTATTTTTTTATTTTTTTCGATGAACCACAATGAGTTCTAAAAGTTAGTATTTTTCTCTATTTGTCATTAATTTGTCAGTAAAACGTGTTAAATGTTCTTAAAAACGTGCGAAAAATGCATATTTCATGCGTGTCATACAAACATAACATTCGCAATTTTTAGTTAAGTATGTATAATAAGAAATTTGCACCCCAAACGGCCCCCCCCCCCCTCGTACAATATATGTTGATCAAAGGATCATCCGTGAAATTATTTGTCACCTTATGCGAAACACCCTCTATAATATTATTTTTGACACATTTTTCTTTCATTTTTGACTTTAATATCAAAAACTGTCTCGCCGTTTAGTAACTTAATTACATTAGAAGAAATAGTTCTTTCAATAGACAGTAGATAAAGTTTTAATTTAATTCAGTAAAGACAAAAACATTTAGGTTGAATCATTTTTCAAATTAAATTAAATTTTTAATTTCTGTTTTTTTTTTTTGTATTGGAGTGTAGTCACATCGTTGTATTAACCAGACATTTTAAATAAATATAAGTCTAAGGTTATCCTTTTGGATTTACGTATATTTGATTTGAAGTTAAAAAGGATAAAAGAGGAACGATGAATGAATATAGTAAAAAGAAGAACAAAAAAAGAAAAGAAATAGAAAAAATAGGGAACAAAAACGAATATAGAAAAAGCACTTAATAAAAATGAAAGCTATAAACAAAGTCATTTCATGTCATTTACTTGCTTTTTACTTCAGTAAAAACAAAAAACAAACACAAGAAAAATTTTAGCGAAATTCAATAAAAATGTTGATTTTTTCCTATCATTAAAATGTGCGTATATGTGCATAGTGTACATGCATACAGACTTAATAACTTTAATTAAAATAGATAAAAGAAATTTTTTATTTTATGATTATACTTTATATTGTGATCGATTTTATTTAAACTTATTATTCAAATTTTAATTATATAATTTCATTCAGTTGTATGAAAATTGTACAATTCGCAATAATTCTATTATAACAAGCTGATGATAATAATATTAATTTAATGATTTATCAGCTATGATAATACTAAAAGAAAAATTCCAAGTGAACATTTTGACTACAATTTCATTTCAAAATTAATTTTTGTGGTTGCAAGCAAAAACTATTGCCAAATCTAATCCAATACTGTTAAATTTGAATCTTGAGAACTTTATTAAAAATCCAAACATCCTAAAGTTAGTTTGTATTCTGTTAGAGTTTCGATAATTTACCTCAATTAATTCTTAAATGAAAACTACAAGAAGTCCTAACCAATGGAAACTTCTTCATACGACTGCAAAACAGATGGATGACATATAATCAAAGGAACGATTCAAAACAGAAAAATTTTATTAAAAAATTTTTTCAACTCGAATTTATTGCTTTATACTATATTCTATATGATTACCTAGTATTGTTCACATATGAGATGCTTCAATCATAAGGACATAGTATGTAAACGGGTATTGTGCCTAGCACAATACCAGGTATTGTACACAACACAATACTAGCACAACGTGTAATTGCTTAAACTAATTATTACTTTTTTAAGAATAACAATTGGCAGCTTCTTTATGCAACTGCAGAACAGATGGTTGACGTAGTCAAAGAAGTCCAACTATTTTTCCTTTAGTAGGTATTTAATTTTAATCAAAATTTTCCCTCATACCACCGACTTTAAAAATGAACACAATCAAAAATACTTCGCCACTGGTTAAAAAAAACTTTAAAATTAATTAAAGCATTTTTTATTGGTGCAAGTAAATTTTTTTTTAATAAGTAATAAAAATAAAAAAAAAAATATTTAACATAAAAATAATTTGTCATAATATCAAATTTAACAAATGTTATAAAATGTCAAAAAATGTGTCGCACACTAATGTTTCAAAAATTACGAATTTCGAAAATAAACGCAACAATTTTCTTTGAATTTCAATATGTGGTGGCCATTTAACATTGTGTAGGCAAGTAATTTTCAGATCTAATTACGGCAAAAAAAAAAAAACAGAAATATTTTTTTTTATTGCTTATGCATTATTTTAAATTCCAATAAAATATTTTTGTTAATAAAGTAAAAAAAAAAACTGAACACGACAATCAAAAAAACTGAAATAAAAAAAATGCATTAAAGCACAAGTAGTATAAAAAAATTTTTTTTTTCCTTATAAATTTTCCAAATAAAAAACTAAAATTTGATACAAAAGTAATTTAAATGAAAATGAAACGATTAAAATTTAACACTTCTAATAAAAAGAAAAAGAAAATAACAAAAACATCAAATAAAAAACAAAATTCTTGGAAATTTAATCGCTTATTTTTTTTTTTCATATGTGTACCGGGTGGTCCATAACATATTGATTCATTTAGGATTTCGGCAAAAATAAAATGCCACTAAATTTTAAGAATTCATAGTTTCATGGTTCGATTGTAAGATTCATATAAATAGACACAAAAAGTACAGTTAGGAATTCGATAAGAACCAAAAGAAGGTAGATACGAGAAAGTTAACTGATAGAGTTGCAAACTTGAAATGGGAAAAACATTGATTCCAAAAAATTATAGTAATTTAAGAGCGAAAGTAGAATATATAAGTTAGAAATTTAAGTGTGTAAAGAAAATTTTTTTTTGTAATTTTTTTTTAACCTTGATAAGCGAACATTTTATTTTGCCATATATTTTTGCATAACTATCATCTCTTCCAAAAAATATTTAAAAAATATCCTTAAGATTACTTACACCCAATAGCTAAAATATTCCATCAAAAATTTTAAATTATAAAAATTGTGTCCAATTGTATGGAAGCGATAACTTAAGAGGGTAGTTTTAATTACAATTGTACACATCCTTAACATTTTTATGTAAGGACAAAATTCTATTCTATTTATGCAATTGTATATTCCATTCTGTCACGTACAACGCAATAACTTATGGGAAAACACGAATTTCTTTTTATTATACAGGAACACTGTGTACTCCATTTTATTTACAATTTTAGTTTTAACTGCAATGTTTGAATAATAATAAATTCAAAACAAAAAATATTTGTGCATTTTTAATAATTGAATTTTTTTTTTTTCATTTCAGAAATCATTGTTTGGATTTTTTTTGTTGTTTCTTATTTTATAAAACGAAGTGGATTCAATTAGAGCAAAAACGGTTTCGAAATTACATGACGAAAAATTTTTTTTAATTAACAAAAACAAGAAAACAAACTTTAAGGATTAATCATTAATAAAAAATTAATAAGAAAATAAAGGAAAATTAAAAAAAAAAAAAAATTTACCACTACTGCTATTACGATAATAACAAGAAAAACATATTGTTCAAATCTAATAATTTAGAAAAACAAAAATTAGAAAAATATTTTAAAAATAACAGCAAACACGAAAACAAAAACGCCTTTTAAATCATTAATACAGAACGGAATCGGAAAAACATTAAGAAAAAATCAAATAAAGTCAAAATCATAATTAAATTTTGTATTTAAAGCCGTGCTTTCTCCATTTTAAGTGGATCTTGGCATCACGGCCAAACAAAACATTTATCTTATGGATTGCTGGACGGGTAACGCCCGACTGGCGAGTGTTTTAGTTTAAGGTAAGTTTAAATTTTTATTAAGAATTTTACATATTATAAACAATATATTGTTTACACATATACAAAATTAACAATAAAGACTTAAAAGTTTTAATTTAGAAAATCAAATTTAAAAATTTTATTGAAATTATACCGACTTAAGACATGCTTAGATGGTCACTTTATATTTTTCTCACATGGTATCTGAATCATGTATAATAAATACTTAGGCGAAATTTTATTTCATTGTAAAAAATATCGTTTTCATTTTGCTTCGGGAATCGGCTGACTTGTTCTGAGATTTTTGTGAATTTTGGAAGGCTATTGAATAATAGCGAACAGCAGCTTGCAATTTTGTATTATAGGCTTTAAAATTCACAATTGAATTTTTGAATATCAGAAATTCTTTCACTAGTATAGTTAGAAAAATTATTGGCATTAATGAAATTTCGTTAACAGTCATTCAAGCAGAACTTACATTATATTCTTATACACATATCTGCAGTAATTCCTTTCTAATGTAAAATGTTTTTTTAATTATCATAATAAATACATAATAATTATTAAATAATCATAATAATTAACATATATTATACTTAAAAACAAAATTACAAATTAAATGTTAAAATATCCAAAGGGATTTTAGTACAGATTTTTTAGTACAAATTTAGGAAGTACAGAATTTATTCTATAAGACGAAATTAATCGAAGTGTATAGCGGGCATTTGCTGTACAACTGGCGAAAATTAGACATAACATAAAAATATAACATTCCAGTGCACTTATATGTTACAAAACTACTCTAACTTTCTCCACTATCAAGCATAATACATAGAACAACTAAGTATAAAAGTAAGTAATATCGAATTAAATCGCAATTTCTTAAGGAACGTCAATCTTAAGAAGGTGAATGAAATTTGGTATTCCCAATTTCAATAGTGTGAAAGCTGTAATTATTAACTTAAATTAACAAAACAATTTCTCACTTCCAATCTTTTCAAAATATTTGTTTTACATTTTCCTCAATTTTTATTATTCTATATTAAACCTTAGATGACGTCAATATTTTAAAACAACCCGGATAGAAATAATCAATTATTTTTAATTAATTAAAATTAATTTTCTCAACACACAATAATTATTTTTTTTTGTGGTTTTTTTTTTATTTTTATTAATTTTTAGTATTGTTCTCTTGAATTAATTTTAATTAAAATTCAATAATATATTTTTAATGAGAATGAAAAACGTAAAACATAATATTTATGGCTCTCACATGTGTATGAATGAATGAAATATTCACCATACGTAATGCCGCTACAAACTCTCTCATAATATTTAAGTTTTTATTCTTAAGTAATTGAGGATTATATAATATTTGGGAGTATTAATTGTCTGTGTAGATATAATGTACGCTACTATTATTGAATATTGGTAGTCATACATATAGCATTAATTACACGATACCAAGTAATAATAAATTATTAAGGTTATTTGGTATTTTCTAATAATATTAATGATATCTTGATAGAATTATAAACACACTTGCCTTTATTTTAAGATTTTCCATGAAAATCTTTGAAAATTCCTGGAAAAAATTTTAGCACTAGATATGATAATTTATTTTATTTTATTATTATTTAAGACTGCTTAGTTAGTTTTCACAATGTAGTTATTCGTCATAACTCATAAGATTCATAAAAGTGGCATTGTTAGTAGCATAATATGTCAACAGGTCAACGACAATAGGCACTGTTATTAGCACGTTATGTCAACAGGTCAATGACAATGTGTCAACATAAACAAATCAATAATACAGAACACATATTGTAAGTTAGGATACCCTCATATCATAGTGACACTTTTTGGAATACTAGTAATGTTATTTTAATAATAAAATCCCAAAATTTTGTCACCTAATTATTCACATAAAACTTAAAATTGTATTAGAATTAAAATTTAACTTTTTCTTGTTCAAAAGCAAATGCATTTTAAAAATAAATTTGCCGAATTGTTTAAATCCAAATTTCGAACCAGAAGAATTGAATAGAATAGAATGTTTTTAATACAAAGGGAATGAGTAGTGTCCACAACTTCTGTTTTAATCATCTGTTTCATAAATTTGTTCTGTATTTCTGTATTGCTGGGAAACGTTCAGTTCAAACAATTTCTCACTTTCAATCTTTTACTTCTTATTTTACTATGTCCTCTGTTTTAATACCTTGCTTTGATTATCCGAAAGAGCTCGCTGCCGATGACAAGAAAATTTTATGAATAAAAATTATTTGAATCAGGAATTGTACATTTAGAATGTATGTGAAAAAGCAAGATTTTGTCGTTGCTTCAAAAAGCCCCCCTAAGTCTTCTTTTTTTTAACACTAAAGTCTGTGATTTTTGGCTCGATATACCATTGTTAAAGCGAAATATTCGTTGAAATTAATATTAATATTTTAAAAATATGAAAATCTAAATATGCTTAATAGGTCGTGCAAAAAAAATTTATCAAAATGTAAAGAAATATTTATGACGTCACGAATTATTTATGACCGAATTATATGACCGTACATTTTGAATTTCCGTTTTACAACACTGAACTTGCGTCAATATTGTTTAAAAAAACACAACCATGAAAAATTTAAAAGTTATTAAACCATACTTGAAAATTTTCCAAAAAAAGAACAAAAAACACACACACTCACAACCATTTTAAAAAAAATTGTATTCAATGAGAAATGCAAGTTCAACGTAACTTAAATATTGTTGTCTAAGGTCTTGTATCTGAAAAAAAATCTCAACAGATTTTTCTTTAAAATTTCTTTTCGACACTCTTCGTAACTGTTTTCCATTCATTTTAAATTTTTTCCAAAATTTTCAGTGTTTCGTTTTTAGTTTTTTTTTTCCTTTCATTCTTTTCTTTTTTCATACAATAAATTATAATTATTGATCTCATTTAGGCTACTTTTACCACCAAAAACCAATTTAATATTTTCGTTTCACTCCTTTGTTTTTTATTCATTAAATTTTTTTTCATCACTTCAAACTTCATTTATAACATAAAATCACATTCAATGTAATATTTATGAAAAAAAAAAATGTTTTTAATGAATATTTAGTGAATGCCCTAGAGGTCTTGATAGTGACCAACACCAATTCTTAACAATTTAAAATTCTTAAAACGACTTCATTTAAAAATCCATAAATTTCTGAGGAACCTATATAAAAGGTATGTATGTATGTGATTTTATTATGCCATCCAAATGCATGCATGATGCGATTATACTGTATTTGTTTGTGTTTTTAGATAACATATTGAGAAAGTGCAGGACTTTTAAACATAAGCAAACCCAATTGTGTTATATTCGTATATTCATATTATACATACATTATGTATTTGGTTATGTAAGTGCAATAAATTCCCAACAGTTTAACCTGGCTTGGTCTTTTAAATTATATTAAGAAAAGGAACTCAAAAGAATAAGGAACAAAAAAAAAATTCAACAATCAATGTCATCAATTATATTTTTTTAAGATCAGTGGTGAAACTGATGAATGGTTGGCGATAATTTGTTTGAATAATTTTTAATCAATTCGTTATTTACGTAAAATTAAATTAAGTAACGATTTGGGCACTTCAAATAAGACATTTAGATTTGTTGCAGTATTTTTTAGGCAGAAACTGTAAATAAACAGATAAAAAATCCTGTGTTTAAATTAAAAAAGATCTTATCTTATTCGAAACGGTAACGACAACGCTATTTTAAAATTGATAATACTTTTTTGCTGGAAAATAAGCCCAAATCCTCAATATGTTACAATAGCGTTTCTAAAGCGCAAGCCAAATATAATAATTTTTTAAAATTTTTTAAATGTTGCAAGAACAAATAAAAATTTTTGTGATAAATTTTTTAACTTCAAAAATAAAAATTCGGCTCAAAACAAACAAAGGATGTAGATACCAGAGGTTCGATTACTTTAAATAATTTTTCAAAATAACAATTATACTATTTTTTTTAACCATTATGGGTATAGTGGGCTTACCTATATAACTTAACATTCTGAGACAGTTTCTTACACTATACTTTTAACTCGTTGAAATCTTCTCCAAATTTTGCATCTAAATTTTTTTTTATGAATTAAGTTTCAAAATATTATTTCAAATTTATTATTTTTACTTCGGAAGATGAACAGTTTAGTTTATGTACGTACATACAATGAAAAGTGTAGCTTGTTCTTACTTATTTTTTTGCCGTATATTGTCTGAAAAAATTTTTATTCGCGAGCATTTTTAATTTCATTGGAAAAAGGCTTTTAAAATAGAGGGTCGTCATTGCGATATTCCTAAAAATAAATTCAGTAAATCCTAATCAAGACTTACTTCAACAAAGTAGACAGAATATAAGTATGTATTCAATATATGCAGGTATATAGTGAACGAATGAAGAAAATAATCAGGAGAAATAACCCAATAATTATTATGAAGCGAACGGTGAACACTACTGTTGTAAGCAAGCAGAAATAACCACACAAGGAAAGACAAGAATAAATTGATAAAAAATAATTGTGGCTCAGAACTCAAAGTTAAATCACGTAAACAAGATCAACGAATACCACCAGCTTTATAGCGAGTCCTCGTTTTTTTTTTTTGTTTTTGGTATTCAACATTTTTGTTTTTTCATTTTTTTTTTTTTTAATATTTTGGTTTTTGTTGCGCATTGATTACGTAATTTTTATGACCAATATTGCTTGTATTGCACAATTTATAAGAATTTTCGTTGTTTTTTCATTTTTTATTTTTAAAATTTTATTTTTGTTTTTTTTTTTAAGATGAATCTGACTTTTATTTTTTTATTATCTTGAAAAATTTTATTTTGTTTTTGCTCTTTAGTATAAAAAAAGGCATGTTTTTTTAAATTGTTGTTGCTAATATTCAGCGAGTGTATGGTTTTCTTCTTGTTAGCGATTCTGATTCACAATAATTTAATAATAATTTTGTATAATATGTGCATGTGTTTGTGTACATTCTT